CACGTTGCATACTGACCAACTTACTGTGCGCAGTCTCTTGAAAACGTGCGAAGTGAACCTACCATCCGTACCATCTCATTCCATAGACCGAACCACTACGCAGTTCCCCAAAAACGTGCGGAACGAACCTACCATCCGTACCGTCTCATCCCGTACTGACCGAACCTATCATCCGTACCATAAAGTCCTGTACTGTCCAAACCACTAAGTGGAGTCTACTGAAAAAGTGCAAAGCTAACATACTGTCCGTACCGTCCCGTTGCATACTGACCAAGTTACTGTGCGCAGTCTCTTGAAAACGTGCGAAGTGCGAGTAATAGAACTCAAGTTCGGCTTGGGATACCAGAAACCAAGTAGAATGTACCTAAACTATGATATTCAGTAAACTCTAATCTGCCATGTTTGTAGCCTCATTAGAAGCTGTTATTTAGACTATCCTAATAGGACTTGCATATGTTTATCATGATTCTTTTCTACCTTTTCCACGTCTCATCGACCAGAATTGTCGAGAGTCGCATTGGGTTGATCTGCTCATTTCACAGCATTGCCGGAAGCAATTATTTGAACAGGATTTGTAGCTATGTCTACATAGCATTTTCCTATGTTTATTTCAACTAGTTTTATAGTTTTTTAGCACAATGAATCTGCTCCTTTGTTTTCCTTCTAGGAAAAGTTTGAAGTTATTGGCACTAAACGTAGTGATGGTACCAAAATGAATCATCAGTTCCATGCAGATTTATGTGAACTACATAAATTGTAAGTATTTTCAGTAACAGCTAATAACCGTGTGGTAACATAGATTAACGACCTCGTTATGTCAACATTCCCCCAATCACTGTAATAACACTCTTTTCGTACTAGTGCTATAAACAACTATCAAATACCTTCTGCAAATGTAAAACGCATGCAATATATTTCAATTAGCTACTTCCACGTCTCCAATCCGAATACGAACAAAAGTAATACGGAAGAACGGATTGCCCTCTGCTATAGAACAGACTCTATCGAGTTTAAAAACAATGGAGAAAGTAATTAGGTTATTTCCTCTTTTTCCGAACCGTCTGCCTGCATATTGCATGCAAATTTCGCTGTCGATTTAGCCGCGTCAATGAATAAGTAAAGTTCTGAAGAACAGCTCCGACTTTGATGATTTTTCTCTATTGTTTTCATTTGTATCATTTGAAATCAAAAACTTTCAAAGGAGAGACCATACAAAATAACGCCTCAATGGTGTTCGGCTTCAAGGGGCGTAGCCATACGAGCCAATGCTCCGTCACAGTACATGTTCGGCTCGTTGCCGGACCGAACAAGGTACGAAATAACGCCCCACGCAACAGGCAAATATACACGTTGCGTAACTAACAATCCTTCAATGCCTCGGCTGAAAATGGAACCTGTACGGTTACGTTGACACTTGGTGGTTCGTGCCGAACGGTTACACTTGTTAAAGTGGTACGGATAAAATATTTCGCAGTTCGTAGTTGACAGTTGAAGGCATTAAATAAGAAGTCATTTTCAGAATGCTGTGACTTCCAGTGTCAACCAACAGCCTGATGCACTCTGCATTGAATTAATTTGTGCAATTGGCAATGTGCACAAGTCTGTATGCAGTCCATCTAGCGTCTCTTTCCAGAAAAATGTGGAGAGGAGGTAGATCTAGAAGGATATCCACGGCCGCTGACGGTGTGGTACTCATGGCCCCACTGATAGCCAGACAAGCCTGTCTCTGTAAGTCAGAGTGCTTCGCTTGGGCCGTTTTCTGTGAAGCCTTCGGCCACCAAGCAATTGCACCATAAGTGATCATTGGTCTAACAATCATCACATAAATCCAATGTATTTGTTTGGGACCTAAACCCCAAGTTTTACCACAAATCTTTCGACATGTCCATAGAGACAGTCTGGATTTGTGTAAAACTTTTTTCAAGTGAGCGTTCCAGGTGAGTCTTTTATCAAGGACAATGCCAAGATATTTCACCTCCTCATGGAATGACCTCACCATTGAGGAAAAGTGGCGTTAGATCGTCCAATTTTCCCCTCCTGGTGAACGAAAACAAAAATCAAAATCGAGTCTGTTCTTCTTCCAAAAAAAAGATTTCGTTGACTCTACTAATTCGCTTATGCCAACATTTTCAGCAACACTTTCGAGCAGAAATGAATCGAGAGTAAATATTTGATTAATGAACTCCGGTCGACCAGTGGGCGACGATTCATTTCCATTTTTTAATTAGACATAACGAATTTTTTTGTATATTGCACAACAAGTTAATGGGATTTTCTTTCGCGAAATAGATGATGGATCGCGAAGAGAAATTTTGCGAATTTGAAAATTCAGGATATGAAGTTTCTGAGGAGAGTTTTGAAAGTTTTGTTTGGATTGGGAAGTTGGAATTGTCGGTGAGAATGTTGAGAAGAGTAATGGTGGCGGAAGATAGTGGATTTGCAGTGTAATTTGGAATGAATTTTATATGACGAGGCATCAAAAAGAAAATCGAAAAAACTTATTCGAATCATCAACAACTCGAGCAACATGAAATCTCAATTAGATTCACCCCATGAGGGTGTTGATTTTTTTTTTATTCATTAGTCTTTCTTATTTTGATCAACGACTCACTTTACCGAAATTACATTTTCAACACGTTCTCATAAGAAAACATACTCTTTGATTAAATTTTCACTAATTGTTAAATAATCAGCTATTCAGCGATATATAATAGCAAAATGACAACCTAACTTTGATACGCCGCACTCCAACTCGGTACTCTGTATAACAATGAATGAGCTTGGACATTCCGATGCATTGATCTCTAAAATGTTTATAAGAAACATTTTTCACCTGAAAATTTTAAAAGTAGTTCGATGTAACCAAGGGCGTCGCTAACGGTGGGCAGGGGGGGCAGTTGGCCCCCTAGAGATCAAATGTAGCTAGCCACAAAACGACCAAAGTAATTGACTTCCTTACCTATTAATGAATTCCGCATCGCATGACAAAACGTAAATAAATTCACAAGGTTTAATTTATATTGTAGAAAGTATTGAAATATTCAGAATAACATTAAGATTTTGACACCCGTTTTTAAAATCGCCCTTCAGAATACTGTAAGAGGTCTTTAGTAATACCTTACTTGGATTCAATTATCACCTCCTTTGAAGTACGTTTTGCTGAAGAAAACACGCCATCATTCGCATTATCTAAGTTATACCCGGCGGCGCAGATGCAAAAGATGACAACTGAAAATCTGAAACAAACTTGTGAATCTATTGCCCAGTTTTATAATTTAACGAACATAAAGAATGAAATCGAACTTTGGCGGCAATTGTGGCACGATAGGCTTAACCTAACAAATCTTACAGTTGTTGATGTCCTAAAAGAAACAAATCCCTTCTTTCCCAAAACGGAAAAAGCATTAAAAATTTTGATCACGTTACCATGCACGACCTGTAGAGCGACCCTTTAGCAGCCTCAGAAGACTGAAAACATGGCTATGGCAAAAGATCGCCTCAATGGTCTGTCCATGATGAGTGTACACAGAGCTATAATAAATAAAAACCTAAATAATTTTAATAAATTGATGAATGTAGCCGTTACTACGTGGCAGGAAATCATAATGAAAAGAGAAATGGAAATTTCTATGTTTTTTACCACTTTTACAATAGTTTATTGTATAAGTTTGAAAAATATCCGTATAGAACTAAACTGCAGTAAAGTTAGTTACAAATAAAAGTGGTAAAAACATAGAAATTTTAATTTCTCTTTTCAATAAATGATTTTAATGATGAAGGGGTTGAAAGTTTTGCAAAAAATCCCCGCAGGTTATGTTTTAATTTAACATTATTTTTGTTAAAATAATAAAAAAATAATTATTACTGTCAAATCATCTAAGAGAACAATTCGTTCAGGCCAGTCTCAACACCCTACACAGTAGGTTAGTGGACTGACACCTATCAGAAAACAACTACTCCCCTGGCTAATACCACGAAGGGCGTTGGATTATATCCGACAGGTGTCAGTGCAGGATTCTTCACAGAAGTTATTCCTGCATATGCTGTTGGCGATACAACTGCCGCAATAGATTTTCAATTATTGGAACATACTTGCAGACCGATTTCGGGCTGTTTGGCCACTCGTCAGTGCAAGGTAGTGTATATCATCAACATAAAGTCGATGATTTCCGATAATTGAAAATCGAATTCCGTCAGAGTATCTTGCGCCAGTATTTGCAGGAATAACTTCTGTGAAGGATCCTGCACTGACACCTGTCGGATATAATCCAACGCCCTTCTTGGTATTAGCCAGGGGAGTAGTTGTTTTCTGATACGTGTCAGTCCATTAACCTACGGTGTAGGATGTTGAGACTGGCCTGAACGAATTGTTCTCTTAGATGATTTGATTTATAGCCAGTCTTCAAGTATGCCTACTGACTATACGTGAAAGATTTCTTTCCTTATACGAGGAATTGGGCAAATTTCGGATATGCAGTTGGTTACCTCGTTCACAGGCAGATGGGGCGACGACAAACCTATTGTTTGTTGTAGTCTTCAGCTTAGTTCGAGGAATGATACTCTGCCAGTCTTCAAGTATGCCCACTGACTATACGTGAAAAATTATTACTGTGTTTAAAAGTTTGATTAAGTTATTGTGTTGTCGAGGGCTTGTGAACTTTTATACATTGATATCAGAACCGTTCTTATTACAATCGTCCCCAGGGCAAAGACTTCCAAAATGTAACGCTTCATGCTGTCGACTGTACCAGGCGTTTATATTTTTAATCCTCCATAATATTGCCCCATTGCTCCCCCCTTAGTCATAACCTGGCGACGCCCTTGGGTGTAACACACTGTATATTCACTCAATTCAATCCCCTTAATGTTTCATTCAAATAATCTTTTTATGAAAACTCCATCATTTTTTGTTCCTCTCATTGCATCCTTCAATCTAAAGGTCACTTTGAGGAAAATGCATTTCCGAAGTTATTCCAAAATTAATAATGAAAAAGACTTACATGAATATCCAATGGTTCCTCTTCAGGAGTCAATGCTAAAGAGCTTTTTCTGTGAAGTACGCTTCTTGTAGTATCTGAAACAAATAAAATCCAGTGAAACTACTGACCAGTTGGAAAATATATAAACCAAAAAAATAAATCAAGAACTGCAACGAACAGCTGTAATCAATAAATTGGTGGATGAGCTGGGTAGAATGGCGGATGAAAATTAAAAGGCTATATTGTGTTTGCATGTATTCAGAAAATAAAAATTCGAAATAAAATTTCGAAACATTAACCTCTTTGAACGTTTATGCAGAGTCTGATCTAGTGAATGTCTGCCGTAGAGAAACGTCTCACTACGTCGAATTCTCACTACATCGAAATTTCACTACGCCGAAAGACATCCCTTCCACTGACATCACCAAAATACCGAAACTCAAATCAATTTTACATGGCGATAATTCGACGTAGTGAAAATTCAATATAGTGAGATTACGACATAATGAGAATTCGACGCAGAGATATTTCTTGCTGTTATAGGTAGAACGGTAGCCTGGTGGGTTGACGTGGGTGCTTTGTTTCAGTCCCTCAATCGACCGCTGTGCGAACCGGTGGTTCAAACCGCAAGGCCGGACGATCCATTTTCACTTCCTATCTTCCAACCAGTGTTAGGAGTCACACGTTGAAAGGTAAGATCTCGTTAATTCTCAGCTCGCACAACTTTATAGTTTTGAGAGTTGTCGTTTGTAGGGGGACGACAGCTGGTTAACGGGAAAACAGTTTTTTTATGCAAATTATTCATCTCACGTAGAATTCTCACTTTCCACGACATCGAATTCTTAACAGGTTGAATTCTCGCCACGTAAAATCTATTTGGCTTCCGACAAATTTTGTGTTCTGGTGACGTCAGGAAGAGATATAGCTTTAGACGTAGCAAGAATTCGCCGTAGTGAGATTTCGTCGTAATGCGAATTCGACGTCGTAGTCAATCTATCCATGTTACGTTTCAATTTAGCACTAGATCAAACTGCTCTTATGTGACCTTTCAAAAACACTACCTTACCTTTTAAGATCTTTATTCAGAGGATATTAACAATGTAATTCAGTTACAAGTTCATTTTATTCATTTAACATCATAGTAATGGGAATCTTCCGTTCCATAGAAAACCATACCTGAAATGTATANTTTTTATCTTTTATTTCCAATATTAATTGGTAAGTTATTGATATTGTGAGTTACTTAGGGTATCTGGAGGATTAAATTTACCTGGCGCCCATTAAGATCTATTTGAAATTTGCTAAGTTGTTTAACCCACTCCCGTCTCCACTGTTTAGCTTAGCCGCGGATACCCATCTGTCTTATTTGTTACCGACAGATGATTTAGTCTCCTCTTGTGGTTTGTGAGGTGACATCCAATCTCGGACTCATTTCCAATAAAACATTTTCCACCCCTGAAAAGAGGTGGAATTCACTTCCATTGTGTACATCAATAATATGCCGTTTTACGTGCAAAATTACACGAGAATTTGATTGTACTATTCCTTGCTGTAAATTCCTGTAAAAAATCTTGAGCCCGACTTCACATTCGATAGTAACTTCCATTTATTCAATTTCACCAACTGATATCAACTGAAGACACCTTATATACCATTAGAGTTCCCGAACAATTTTCCAAGAAAGTTCCGAGCAGCTCTAATTGTACTCCGCAGCGGAAACTTCTTGTTCCGGAATTAATTGCTATATCACAACTAATTATATTTTGTTAAGCAAGTGAACTACTCGCTAGACAAGAAAATTTGTTCGAGTTCATCAACCCTGGAGTGTATCTTTGAAAATTATATAATTCGAGGTATTTCAACTATGTAATTGGTTACGCGTTTGATAGTGAGTTTGACGTGTTTCCCAGGCATATGTTGGGTTGGAGTTTGTACAAGAGAGAACAAACCATTAAGATAACACGTGGGAATATTAGGATATAGACGAATGGATAATTGGAATTCAACAAATCAGATTCAAATATAATTTCGAAACTTTTACCGTTTTTTTAAGCCTTGATCCATTATTTCTGCTATCGAAAAAAAAAGAATCAAAGAATTTGCATCCAATTTTACGTAAGATAGAATTAAGTGATTGTACTCTGAGTCAAAAAAATGTTTACAAGTGACGCCCCATAACAAACGATGATAATGTTGAATAAGTGAATACTTATCAGATCAATATAGGATATCTGGAGAATATAAGAAAGACCGAGAAGCTACTGAATGGAAAACCAACTAATAATTGGAAAAAAAGACCGCGACGGATCTGATTGGAAAAGGTACGAAATGATTTGCAGCAAATAAATGCCCGGAATTGAAAACACACGGTAATGTAGATAGTAAGGGCTGGAGGGGAGGAAGACTCGAACGAAGCATTTAAGAAGGTATGGCCTAGAGTAGTCTTTCTCAAAGTGGGCGGTAACGCACCCTTGGGGGCACTGGAGGCCTATAGGGGGCAGTAAATGGCACAGAAAAAATTGGAGAGCGTTAAAGCGGTTTAAGAGAGCGATGGCTAATTTAAAAATGTTTTTTTGCTTTTAACACAAACTTTACCGTTCCTTTACGCTCAAAGCGCGTTTCCTCTTGTAACTCCATCTAGGGGACTAGACAGTAACTATTTCCTGTCCAAGAAGTTTTTAGTCTCCATTCTCGAAAGTACTAGGCCCGCCCGCTGCCCCATATAAAAGAGCGTGCGCCATCCAGCCAGTAATGTCATTCGACGATATAACGAATACAAGTGAATTTACTAGCTAGGTAAAGTGCTGTACGTACCGTGGTGAATACTGCGAGTGGTGTCATTAGCAAGTTTTTAATACTCGATTGTATACTTCGGCATTTTTGAAGACAAAATTATGTTGGAAGCAATAAAGAAGAAACGACAAGCGCGGAATATATAAAATAAGAATTTATTGAAAATTCCACAAATCCATCTTCGCGCCAATGTGCCTTCTTTGTCAAAAAACAATTTTCGAATGAAGCTATGAAACCCTCAAGACTACAAGATCATTTGAATAAAATGCATTTAGATAAAGACAAAAGTGTGACTTATTTTCAAGAACTGGAAAACAAACACTCAGCTTAGCCAACTCTGTCAAAACTGTTTTCAGCGGCTTTTAAGCAAGACGAAGACGGACTCCGAGTTTCCTAAAATATCTCCTTGCTAATTCTCCAAACAGGTTAACCTCACACAATTGGAGATGATTTAATTTTACCGGCAATAAAAGAAGTAATAACTACTGTGCTCCATAAACTAGCGGCAGATATCCGAAAAATTCCTTTGAGCAATAGTTCCGGGCAAAGACGAATTGATGAGATGGCTGAAAACATTGAAGAGTCATTGTGCAATCATCTAAAGACTTCTAAATTTTCAATTCAACCAGATAAGTCCACTTTACCAACCAATGAAGCATTGTTGTTTTCATATGCAAAGTTTACAAAAAATGACAAAATATATCAATAACTACTATTTGCCAGAAATTTAGAGACGGATACAAAAGGAGAAATCAAATCAAAGACAAAAAATTGCACAACAACCTTATCATTTCAAAGAATGATATTGCGTACTTGACAGACCTGTATAAATTATGATTGATGTCAATCTCCAACTTTAAAGTAACGACTTGAATTTAATTAGAACAAAAAATGCCATTGCTGCTTTTGTAGCCAAATTGCTCTTATACAAGAATAATATCGGCAGACGTGAGTTTCGCAATTTCCCTAATTTGTCAGCAGTGTCCTTCTACAACGACGACTTGCTTGTTTACTGCCAACATTTGAAGAACCTCCACAGTGATTTCGCAGAACGATTCCAGGACATTTAAAAATTCGAAATACCGGACTAGGTGTTGGATTCTTTTTCAAACGTCAACACAGCAGGATCACCCCAGCTGGAAGAAGAACACAACGAGCGAAGAAATAAAAAAAAATCAAAAATGGATACCAAGAATTTTGGCTACAAAAGCCAATCCCGCAATTATACGCTGGATTGTGGTCCATCGTTCAACGATTTTTGATAGCATTCTCATCATCGTATTTGTGTGAACGTGGATTTAGTGCTGTGGCAACGTTGCTTACTAAAAAGAGAAATCGGTTGCAGATTACCGAACGCGGTGACTTACGACAATTTTTGAGTAAATTCCATCCTGATATTAACAAACTTGTTGAAAATCATCTAATTCATGCTTCACATCAGATTAGTTTTAAAATTCAAATTGATATGTTTGTTTTAATAAAGTGAATAAAAGTTTTCCTAACATTACAAAATGGTGTTTTACATTACCCTAATCAAAAAGTCTTATTTTCACATGACACACATAATTTAATTATTAAAATAATGACTACGATTGCGATTCTTTAGATGTAGTGAAGTAAAAAAATTTTGGGGCGATAGAAAGTAATTAATTTTCGAAGTGAGCGGTAGACAAAATAAGTTTGAGAACCTCTAACCTATAGTGATATGGTAACAATAATATAATACTATATTATATACAAGTTATATGTTATTCATTGACCTTCTCTATCCATACCCGAGGTGATGTGAATAAACAAGATCAAGGTTAATGCTGACTTATGCTGAATCGACATCCGGCGATACGCAGAACTTGAACGACGACACAAAGGACCATCATTTTCTTTGGTTCATTTCAGAATATATCATCATCTGTTTTCTATGAATATTGTCCAGTTACATAAAAGTTGTTTCAGTTGTATTTATAATCAGTTTGTGTTCAATTGTATCTCAGGGGAATTCAGTACTGTTTACCCATTTTCAAAATAAATGATATATAACATACATTTTGAGGCATCAACAATATTGTAATGGAGTGATAACAAATTGCAACGTTTCAACATCTATTTTCCTGTTAAGTATTCAAAGACGTATCCGTTTTCGATAGCATCCAAACCCAGCGACCATAATGATAGTTTCGATTTCTAAATTTCGCCTTGCCCTCACGCAGAGGCAGCATTTCACCGGAATATACGCATTAATTACCAAGAATATCTGTTTCGCACGCTAACGTATTCAGAATGTGTAGCATTCGTGATATTTCAA